ATGGAAGTAATTGACCATCAAATTCATCACACTGATGATGGAAGTACTGTTTCGATTTTAACTCGTGTTCCTCCTGTTAAAATGGTTCACGAAAACGAAATTAATGATGGAACAAAATGAATTCCTCTTCAAAGTGGATTTAAAAAAATAGAGAGTGGTGAAGGAAGTCAACAAGGTGGCAGTCAAGAAACTCAGCAAGCCGATGAAAATAGAATAAGCGAAATAAGTAGTGAAGTTGACCCGAGCATAGTTGAGAAGATTAAAAAAGATATAAATAAGTGAAGTGTTAAGAAATTAGAAGTTGGCTTGAGTAATGGAATTAAGACAACGCAAGAATGTTTGGTTCATGATTCAGTAGTCAATGAAATAGATATTAAACATTTAGGAAGCATGATTTATCCGGTGGAAGTTTTTAATGAGAGCGAAAAAAAAGAACTTTCTGGGGTTTTAAATGGTTCATTGTTGGCTAATTTTGTATCTTCTGGAAATGTTGAGAAATTAGAATTGAATAAAGTTTCTTCCTTGAAACTTCCGGAGAGCATTCCAACAACTAATAATACTACTGATAAAAGAAAAAGTGCTTTGATAGGTTTTGGAGTTGTTTCTGTTTTGCTGGTTGGGGGTTTAGCAATTTTAAAAATTGTTAAAAGTAGATTTAGTAAGAGTAAGAAGTAAAGTCTACTGAAATTTGGGGGTTCTTTATTGAACTCCCTGCTTCTTTTGTAAAAAAATACCAATATGTCAGATCAAACAACTGAAAAAGAAAAGTCAACTCTAATTCGGTTAGATGAAAATCAATATAAGCACTTCTTAATTGCTTTTGGTAATATCATCCGCGAATTAAACTCTATTGCTTTTAAGATTAAAGAGTTAGAGAATGAAATGAAATTAATCGAAGGTGAATTAAGATTGTTAAGAATAGAAATTGCTGATAAAAAACAAAAAAATAGTTAGTGGAATAAACATAATATAAGTAATAATTATAAACTTTTTTAAATATTTTAATATGACAGACTGAAGAACGTATAAAATAACAAGTAAAACTGTAAGTTCAAGTTACATTCTTTTTTATTTAGATAATTATGTAAATTATAGTAATGGTAGTTATAACTACAAGCATATTTACTGTTCAAATAGTAATCCTTTCCATAATTGACGAGAAGGAGACTTTATAGAAATTGATAATGATGCATCTCGTTATAAGAATAGCGGTTATTATTTTGGTAACACTTATGAAGTAAGAGGTAGTTGCCATTATGGATGTGGTCATTCACACAGAGAGTACGATGATTTGAAAAACAAATATAATGCATTAGAAAGAGAGCGTAATGATTTGCGTACCGATCGAGATAGTTGGAGAAAAAAACATGATGAACTAAAAGATAAATTAAACGATGAAAAAATAAAAAGTGCCAATGAAATGGCTGCTGAAAAATTAAGTCGACAAAACACGGAGTCAACATTAAGAAATGACAAAAGTTTAGTTGAGGAAAAGTTAGAAAATTTTAAAACTGAAAAAGTAGGTTTTTTGAAGCAAATAGAAGAGGGAAAGAAAGAACTAAGTTTGATTCGTGTTGAGAAAGATAAAAAGATAACAGTAGTAGAAGACAAATTAGTTCAAAAAGATGATGAGATAAAAAGGCTGGAAAAGTCAATAGAGGCTTTGAAAGTGAGTAGTGAAAAAGTGATTATCCAAAAGAATAATTCTTTACTGGAAATGGAGAACGAATTAAAAAGAAAGCAACAAGAAATTAAAGTTTTACAAAGTCAAGGTTTTAGAACACAAGAAGAATTGTTAATTGAAAAATTAAATTCCGAAAAAAGTAATTTAGAAGTTTTTGCTAGTGAATTAAAGATTAGTTTGGAAGCAATTCATAATTTAAGTAAGTATCACCAAAGATTACTATTTGCTCGTAAAGAGCGTAATCGGACTGCTGCTGAAGACAGCGAGGAAAAAATTGCTAAAACCAAGCAAAGTTTATTAACTTCAAAAATTAGTATAGAAAATTTGCGAAAAATTAGTCAAGAATGCGAAAAACTTGCTGGGTTAAGTTGAGAATTAGAGCAAATTCAACAACAATACGAAACACGCCAAGAAATTCCTCCAAAATAATAATACTATGACAAGAAAACATTATCAAACTTTGGGAGTGGACGAGAAAACAACTCCAGAAAACATTAAAAAATCCTATCGTAAATTAGCTCATCGATGACACCCCGATAAGTGAAATGGCAAAATGCTTGAAGAGCGAAAACAAGCAAACGATATGATGCAAGAAATTAATAAGGCTTATGAGATTTTGGGAGATGAAGAGAAAAAAAGAAAGTATGATTTAGGTTTAACTGATTTTTCCGATGATGATTTTAACTTTCAATATGATCCTAAGGAGGAAGTTAGAAGGCAAGAGGAAGAGTTGAAAAGAAGAGAAGTTCACATTACAGATCTAGAATTGGAGATTCTTAAACTAGAAATGAAAGCTTTGGATCGTTCTTCAACTCTTAACGAAATTGGAGCCGTATTTTGTTTTACTTTACCAAGGGTTCATGCGGAAGATTTAGACCCAATCTTATGACAACCTTACCAAAGTTGGGGAGAAAAAGTAACAAAAATGGAAATTACTATTCCAAAAGGTAAGGATAGAAGTGAAGAATTAAAAAATTTCAAAGAGGAGATGGTTAAGGCTATTAAAGAAGTTGAAATTGTTCTTGGAGTTAGAGAAGAAAATAAGAAAAAAAGCGAAAATGATTCTGAGTTGGGTCAGGCTAGAATGGTAGCTTTCCAGGAAATAGAAAAATCAATGAATGAAAGAGATTTAAAAGCCAAAGATTTAGGGCAATATTCTAATTATCAAGAAAAGATTAACAGTTTAGGAGAAGTATGAGAAATTCGTAATTTCCGGGAGGAAGTTCTAGGTTTTATTTCAAAATTGGTCAGAAAGGAGTCTAAAACAAGAGATAATTTTCGCCCAATGAATAATCCTTATCCACCAAGAGGACAACTTGAATACTGGAATAACAATAATCCTAATTTTCTCAGTTATAATCCTCGACCAAGAGAGAATCCTAATTACTACCCATCTCGATCAAATTTCAATCCGGAATTTTCGGTCAGACCTGACTTTCTTAGAACAGAACCGGGAAGAGTTCCTGATAGACGAAATGAACCATGAGGTAGAATTGAGGGAGGTAAAGCGGATAATTTTTTAGGTGGAACTCGGTATAGTAAATATGATAATTGAACTCGTCAAGAACTAATTGATGAACTTGAGCGAGAAAAATCAAACAATCTTTATTCTCAAAAAGTGATTCCTGACTTTGAAACTAGAATTTCTGCCTTGGAAACTAAAAATAAAGAACTGGAGGAGAAATTTCATGTACTAGCACTAAAAAATAACGCATCCCAAACTTCTATTTTTGGACAAATGCCATCGTTCTTTAATAAAGAGAAAAAAATAGAATCAAAGATAGAAATGCCTCCGAAAAAATAAAAAAGTAATCTTATCTATTTTGTGCTAATTAAGAACTAGAGAATTTCCGCGGGTTCTTTGGTTGGATGATAAAAAAAGTGGGGAGCGGCAACGCTCCCCCTAATAATTGAAATCTATTTTGAATTATTAGTAAAGTTAATGACCGCTTTTTCNNTTATTTCTCAAATTACTCCCCAAAAACTTAATCAAAAAGTTATTTTTTATGTTTGGATTAACAATTTTAATGAAATCAGCAATTCTCTCTGGTTTATAACTGGACAAGATGGTAGCGGACAAATTCAAATCGTAGTTAAAAATCCTAAATTAATCGAGAAGTTAAAAGAGCGAAAAAAAGGGGATTTGCTGGAAGGGAGAGGAATTGTCAAAAAAAAAAAAATCTCCGGAAAAGAAAAAAGAAAGTTCAGAAGAGAAATTGGAAATTGAATTGACTGAATTTCAACTAATTAATGCCAATAGTTCTGATAAAGATTTACCCTTTCCCTTGGTCAATGTTAATGAAGATAATAAATATCGCTACCGCTATTTAGATTTCCGTAATCCCAGCAGTAAAAAATTACTCCTAATTAAGCATCAATTTTGCCACCACACTAGAAATTATTTACAGCAGCGAGGTTTTATCGAAGTAGAAACTCCCATTTTAGCCCAAAGTTCCCCGGAAGGAGCTAATTGTTTTGTAGTGCCGGCTAATTCCCCGAACCGCTATTATACTTTGCCCCAGTCGCCCCAAATTTTTAAACAATTGTTAATGGTGGGGGGGTTCAATAAATACTACCAATTAGCAAAGTCTTTTCGGAATGAAGGAGCNCGGAGNAATCGGCAAATTGAGTTTTTACAATTAGATTTAGANATGAGTTTTGCCACNACTCGCCAAATCCAGCAAATCATCGAAAAACTGCTTAAAANTGTCTTAAAAAAAACTTTCAATTTAGCAATAAAAACTCCTTTTCTCCGCCTAACTTANTCNGAAGTAATGCAAAAATATAATACTGATAAACCNGATTTGCGTTCTAATCCGACTNATAAAAAAGAACTAAATTTTTGNTGAATTACCGACTGACCCCTTTTTCAGTATAATTCCGAAACTAGAAAATACGAAAGTTTACGCCACCCTTTCTCTATTCCACAAAAAAAGTATATTCAACCTTTTTTAAATAANCAAATTAAACCGGAAAAAGTAATTGGAGAAGCCTTTGATTTAGTTTGNAATGGNGANGAAATATTAAGCGGCAGTCAGCGGATTTATACTCGCGAATTACAAGCAAAAGTTTTAGAACTATTAGGTTATAATTCCGCTGAACGAGAAAAACATTTTGGTTATTTTTTACAAGCCTTATCCTTTGCTGCTCCTCCGCATGGAGGAGTTGGCTTAGGAGTTGACCGNNTNCTGGCAATTATTTGTGAAGTAAAAAATTTGAAAGAATTAATTGCTTTTCCTAAAAATATTGACGGAACTTGTTCGTTAACTGGAACTCCGGATTTTAAAGAAAATTTACCTTAAATGTTGTAAAATGGAGGAGGCTGAGGGATTCGAACCCCCGCGTGCAAAAAGCACAGCAGTTTTCAAGACTGCCACCATAAACCACTCGGTCAAGCCTCCTTNACTATTTAAATTAGTTTAAAATGAAATTCAAAGGAAAAATTAGAAACTTATCCGAGTTAGAAAAATTAAGTCAACTCTTAATTCCTTTTCTNCANCCTAATCTTTATTTAATTTTACAAGGTGAACTAGGAGTTGGCAAAACCACTTTAACCCAGTTAATTGCCCGAAATTTGGGAATTAAAGAGAAAATAACTTCTCCCACTTTTACTATTTTACAACGCTATTGAATAAAAAATAACTATTACCTTAACCATTTTGACTTTTTCCGGCTCAATTCGACCGATAATTTAGATTTTTTTCAAGAATTAACGGCTGCTAATTTAAATATTATTGAGTGAGGAGAGAAAAANCCNCAATTTTGAGAAAGTAAATCCTATATTAAGATTATATTAGTGAAAAAGAGTTTAAAAGTTAGGGAAATTCTTCTCTNTTTTTCTTTTTTAATTGATAACTCTCTAAAACTCAACCTCNANAACTTGAAGAATTTTTTGTTAAACTCTGGTTCAAAAAACTAGTTTTTTCTAAAACTTTTAGGAACTTAATTCTTTGATTTTCTTTTTTTCGGCTTCGGTAAGTTTATCCTCATAGTTTTTTTTTAGTTTGTCAATTTGGTTCTCATAGTTTCTCTTTTGGTCTTGGGAAAGGTCTTTCTCTTTTTTGACTAGATTGCGAAAATTTTCCCGCACTCNNCGCAACGCCGCTTTTCCTTCCTCGGTTATTTTTTTAACCTCTTGGATATATTGGTCTCGCTTCTCTTTCGTCATTACCGCNAGAGTAAAATAAAGTTTCTCCTTGTTGCTTTTTTCCTCCNCTTTGTCGTAGCCTAATTTTAAAACTGTATCGGTGATTAAAGAGNNTTTTTTGGTTTCAAAATTACTAATAACTAGTTCATGATTAGGAGAAATGCTAAAACTTGCTCCGGTTTTGGGAGGTTTTCTTTCGCCAGTTAATTTTAGATTAATTTCCCTTTCCACTACCTCCAAAACAATTNGATTACTCCGAATTTTTTCTAATTTCTCGGCAAAAATTTTTAATTCTTTTTCAAAATGCTCTCTTTCATTTTGCTTTTCTTTACTTTCGACTCACGAACTATTTTTCATAAAAATAAAAAACTAATAATTCAAAAAATTAATTCAATTATTAGGGGGAACCTCTCTACCCTTCCGGANAAGGATAGAGTATTTTATTCTTTCACCTTAAAAAAGGTTCAAGGACTTTGTTCCGGATGGNTCCCGTCTTATTTTGTCCTTGTAGGGACTTTTTACCATGTAGTATAGCGAATTATTNATAGCGGTTAATTTTNAGGTCTAACTAAATCTTTTAAGGAAAATTATCCCNCTTATTCTAAAAAAACCCGCGATACCAAAANCCNCAAAGGAAAAATCAATTTTATTTTTTTCTCAACCTTTTTATAACTAACAAAATTGACAAAACAAAAGCAAAGATTAAGAGCAAAGGTAAAAAAAGTTGAGAAATTACAATGAACCAGTTAAACCTTGTCTCTTGATGACCCAATGCTCTCTCATTGCTCTTTCTTCTGATTTGCTTTTTAATTATTTTTCCGCATTCATAACAATAAATTTTATGTCCTATTCATTTTTTATTGCAAGTGTTACATTCTTTTTCTCCTTCTCCGAAGTCACAATAGCAATGAGTAGAGTTTTTAATTTCCCTATTANCAAAATCCTCTCATTTCTCATTCTCGAGCAATTTACAAATTTCAACTTTGGTTTTTTTACATCGCGGACATTTTTTTCATTCGCAGTCCTCACAACCCACATATCATCTAACGCCGANTCTAACTTCTTTATTACATTTAAGACATTTAAACATGTAAACTTNGGAAATTAAGCCATCTCTTCAATGTGGGCNTTAACGCTTNCTCCTGCCTCATGACGTTTAATATAATATCGCAATTTTCTCATTATCAACTCTTTTTGAGCCTTAGCATTATCTGTTTCGAATCCCGCAAAATTTACTACTCGTAATCCGCCACTTTCAAAATCATCAAGGAATTCATGTGCCTGTTCCACACTGTAAATTTCAAATCCTCTAGANCCTTTGAAAAATCAGTTAGTATTTCTTGAGTAAGTAAAATAAGAACCAAAATTAGAATCTAAAGTTGCTTTAAAAACAAATTTGATAGAACTACCCAAAAAACAATCACTGCAAGGCCCATAACTTTCCACTTCGCCAACATCACCACCACCTAAATCAGCATAATTCAAATTCTCATCCGCTTGATAATCTTTCATAAACTCCGCAAAACTGGGAGTTTCATTTTCAACTTTTAANTCATAAACTTCCTCAAATGGCTTGTTAAAGCCATTCGTGCTTCGCTCAACCGGTTTTTTATTTTCCACTAGGGGAATTAAATTGTTGTTTTTTGGCATATGTTTTTAATAGATTATATAAAAAAATTATTTGCTAGTTTTTACCAGTTCTAACTACTGACTAATCACTTAAATATTTAATACTCAAAAAAGAAGTAATTAGTGAACTAATTTGAATACTCTTTGCCCTTTTTATTGGTAGAAGGGAAAGACTTACCAATGGGATTTATTGCTAAACTCCATNCNNNAAAAGCATTAAATACTTTGCTAGTTAGTAAATGAAAGGGAAATTTAACTAATGCTTAATTTTTGGTCTCTCCGGANGGAGACCTNAATTTCTGTNTTTTGAACTGTCTATTTTTCATATCCTTACATATATGTTTTATATTAGTTTTACAATTTATTATACTTTTCGGCTGTATCATTCCACCACGGATTGGGTGTCAATTTTTCTAACATTTTCATTCAAATCTTCCAGTTTAGGAGGGCGGAGGTAAGTAATGGNTAGTTTTTGTTTATCAAAATCCAAGTAACTCGGAACCTTAATATTTTGNTCCAAATTAGTTTTAATCAACTTGCTTTTGCTCACTTTCTCTATTTTCTTTTCCCAAAATCTAATGATTTGTCCNGGCTTAACTTGATAAGAAGGAATATTAATTTTTCAATCATCTACTAAAAAAAAACCATGATTTACTCATTGTCGAGCCGAACGGAGTGTATTGAATAATCCGGAGCGAAAAACCACACTATCCAAGCGTGATTCAGAAATTNCCAGTAAATTAANNCCCGTATCGCCTGTTTTGGTTCGGGCTGCTAAATATTTAATTTTTAATTGCCGGTCTAACCAATCATAACCATATTTAATCTTTTGTTTTTCTCGTAGTTTATCCGCATAAGGAGACNTTCTTTTCCTTTTATGACCGTGAATGCCCGGTCGAGTAATTCTTTTTTTNCCCCGACTAAACTCCTTTTTGTTTCCCANNAAAGAATAATTTAAGGCNCGGGATATCCTTCATAGCGGACCATGTTCTCTTGACATATATTATTAATTTAGTTTTAATATTTAGATTTACTTTTTATAAAATATTTTTATAGTTTAAACTTATGAATAACCATTCCAAAAAAGATTTTCCCTATTACCAAAGAATTAAATTGCCTTATGAACTTAATGAATTNGAGAACATAATTTCTTTTCGAACCATGGATTACCATTATAATATTCTGCACTGAAACTANGAAAAAAAACTTGCCGATTTAAAACTGGGAGAGGAANTTGAAAAAAAATATCCCACTTTGGAAAAACTGATGAAGAATTTAAATGATGAAGAATTTAAGAAATTATTCCCNCTNGAAGTAAGGGAAGATATACGCTTTTTTGGAGGGGGGGTAATCAACCACAATTTCTTTTTTTGGCATCTCACTAAATTCGACCCCCAACCAAAANANCCNGAAGCAAGAATTAGTCCCGAGTTTTTAAANTCTATNCAAGAATATTTAGAAAAGGAATANCTTTTTGACAACNTTTCTTTAAAAAAANTNACTGNCTGAGAAAAATTAAAAATAAAGTTGGTGGAAAGTGCTTTAAAAGTACGCGGGAGCGGCTGAACTTGGTTAGTTTTAGACCAAAAAAATAAATTAAAAATTATTAATACTGAAAAACAAGATGGACCCTGAAGTTTCCATTTGCGACCTTTGATTGCGATTGATGTTTGGGAACATGCCTATTATTTGGACTATGGAGCAAACCGGAAAGAGTATGTTCAGAAACTACTGGAATATTTNCTAAATTGAGAATATATTAATGAACTCTACCTTAAATACACTTTTGCTCCTAAAAAATAAGTTTACCAAAACTATTAAAAACTTAAAACTTTATTATAACAACAGATAGTCGTTATTTGCCTAACTACATTATGAATAAACTAATCACCTCTTTTGAAACTAAAAAAAAAACTCTTAATTTTCAACAAG